TCTTGCCAATTATATATTAGCCGCTGTTCATTAAAGAGTGCCGGCATCTGGCTGCTCCCACAAGGTGAGTTTACTCGCCCATCGCCATATCTAGATGGTCTTCATACACTAAGTGTGAACGGTACACACTCAATCATACGCTTGTCGCTTGTATTAATCACCATAATGGTTATTGATGGTATGATGCTGCTGCTTGTATGAGAGAAAGGGGGGTTTGTTAGCTTCTCTTGATGGCTTAATAGCCGGTGGTACAGTGCTTCCCCTACATACATACAGCCGCCTAACCGCCTACTTTGTACATACACACGAACTCATTCGACTCGGCATTTAGAGTCGCTTGTTCTTGGAGTGCCGTTTGATATTCTGCTGTTTGCCCATGATACTTCGAGATTCAAGAATCACTTAGCTTGAGGTTACATGTGGAGCATGCCGGCTTCTTTCATGGTTACGAGGACTTGTTTGTTAGCGTCGTACCGCAATCGGCTTTAGGAGTGTTACACAAACGCCATTTCTTCAAATTCATCTAGCTTTCTCAAGGCTATCCTCATTTATCACCGGCTGTTTGATGGCTCGGATTAGGCTGGCTGTTTTGCGGCCGTGTTGTCAAACACCTTATACTTGATGCTATACGTACACTTGATGCTAGTTGTTTAAATTTAACCAACCAAGCTATACGTACACTTGTTGCGTTTGTTGTGAAGGTCGCCTGCTTTAACATGGCTGGCTGCCTCTTGCTTGATAGCTTGAGGAACGATGCCTAGGTGCCGCTTAGGATACACAAGTGAGTTGTTTTCCCATCTAACTTTACACTTGTCTTTTCTCATAATGCAAGTAAGCTAGCTTATCTATATAGAAAATGAAAGACGAATAGATAATGGACAAGCTTGTTCCACTAATTAATAAAATAGTTAATAAACTAGTGGAGCTTTGCCGCCTGACATCATCCCCAAATTGAGTGGACCAGCTCATAAAGCATAGCAAATACTTGGGAATTAATGATGGCGTTTATGGTGTATTGGAGTGTGAAATTAGTTGGCTTTCGTTGCAAGTAGCACAGCCCCACTCAACAGATTTAAAGAAACAAGTCGCCCTTTTTTTTCTTTTTTTTTTTAATTCAAAATCATAATAATGATTTGATAATAATAATAGCCTACAAGCTTGACCATCCGACTCCTGTTATTCGGCCGTATGGCGTTTGTGGCACATGCGGGGCCGACTAGTTTTTATGGGATCCAGACCGACGGGAGGTGCCGCATATCTGGCTCTCGTAATTTGATTGGGTATACCTCATGGAGGTATTATGAAGACTGTCTTGAAAATCAGTAGTAGTGGTCGACTCTGACAGTTGGTGATTCTTCTTTTGCTCGATTATCATTCGAGCATCAGAGTATGTTTTCCTTGATCCATCCAGTTGAATAAGGCGGATGGGCTTCCTCTTCCCTAGAGAAGGGAAGCGGTACTTTGTTAGGTCGATCACTGGCGCCTCTCTCCCCTTAGGTCTAGGGTGAGTAGTCGCCTCCCGATCCTTTGCAGGTTCTTCCTCCCAGATTGGGAGGGTCTTCTGGCCGACTGTTCCTTTGCAGGAACAGGCACCCTTCTATTGATCAAGTCTTGGATCTCTCCTTTGAAACTACTCATGAGGGCCATGAGTTCATTCCTGGTTATAGGGGCAGATCCCTCGGCCGCCTGTTGATGATCAGGCGGCGGGCCGGCTGGTTTACTAGATTTAGCCAGGTAGTCTCCCCGTTCCCTCCTTTCGATGGGACGGGTGCGTCGAGCTCTGAGGGACCCGTCAGGGGCCGTGTGAGTCTCAACTTCATATTCTTCGTCGGTATCCTAGTCTGACTGGACCAGGGGGTCGTCCATGGAACGCTTCTCACTTAGAACCGGTACAGACTGTGATACCATCTCGAAAGTACTCTCCCCACAGACGGCGCCAAAATGTTTTGGGGTTTTCTGATGTCCTGCGGGAGAGTTACAATTCCGGGACTGGTATCCTTGCGCCTGTACCTGCAAAACAACGGAGACTCCTTGTGGTGGGAGCTCCGCCTCCAACGGTCAAGTTAGTACTTGTTTGAGGAGTAATAAATGCGGAAAGTAAAGGTGGGAGATCTGGTTCCTCTAGGGGAGGAGTGATCAATGTGTTTAGACTTCTCTAGGTGAGAGTCATCAATTGCTGAATCCCCTTTAATGAGGATTAATTAAGTATTTATAGTCTTGAGAAGCGTGCCAATCCTAGGTTTAGGTTAACCAGGGCAAATTGGGCTTCTCTCGGACTTTGGGCCTTGGTGGCCATTTTGCCTATTTGGCATATGGGAGGCCACGTGGCGTGGCCTGATTAGTCCATATTGGACCTCTTAGGGTGACAAGTGGCGGACGCTGATTGGCCCACGTGGTGGACACGTGGCAGGTCCGGATTGGTCCATTTGTCATGGGTAATTTTTACCCTAAACAATAAGGATTTAATTTTTTTCAATTAGATTTATTTTAGTAATGCAACACTCTTGGTAGTGTGTGTGTATATATATATATATATATATATATATATATATATATATATATATATATATATATATATATATATATATTTCATTTAACTATTTAAAAATTTATAAAGTCATATCTTTTACTATTACTCCCACCGTCTTTATTTTAACCCTATAGTTTTGGCCTGGGTTTACTTTATTAATTTTTCATTGTATAAAGTTGATACGGAGTAAAAGAATAATGGTGGTCTAAGTTATTGTTTGTGAAAGAAAAATAGTAATTCTTTAACTATATATGTATAGTGGAACAACGTGTTTTCGTTATACAAACGAATCATAGGTTTCTTTCAAAAAAAAAAAAAAAAAGGAATCATAGGTTAAAAAATTACGAACAAGATTATGATTTTATTCTAATATCTATCATACTTATAATTTTCATATAACTAATATTAGTAAATTAAGGTCGCATTATAAGTTGCATAAAAATAAAACAAATTATCCGTTTTCTAACAAGCAAAATAATAAAAAAATTATAGGGTTAAATTAAGAAAAAAATCTTTTTCATGAGATTTATGTATAAAAAACCGTGCATCGCACGAGCTTCCATCTAGTATATAATAATGTTGACTTCTTCCTTAATTTTTTAAATTTTAAAAGTTTTACCTTTAATTTTAGGGAAATTCTCAATGGTAGTCATATAGTTTTGTTCATTTTCAATGGTAACAAAATATTTGTCAAATACTCCCAAATAGCATTACTTTTTAAAAGTTTTCCTAAAATAACAATATTTTTACAATTAACAATTAATTAGCTTAATTAAACCTATTTAACAATTTAATTTTTGTTTTTTAATTTCTTAAATCTCTCTCCTCTTAATTCCCACCTCCCTAACTCCTTCAATGCAACCTCGACCATAACTCCACCGGCACCATAACCTGAACCGCACCATCACCTGAACCACACCTCACCCGACCCCAAAACTCCACCTAACCACACCCCCTTTCACCAAACCCAATCCCTTCTTACCTGATCATTCTCACCGGACCCCAAAATCCCACCGAAACCCACTCCGAAACACCAAACCTCACCCCCCCTCACCAGACCCCGAAACCTCTTCGACACCCTCATCGAACTCCAAAATCCCACTGACCCCATCCCAAACAACAAACCCCACCGCGAAATTTGATTGAGGTATTGTAACTCAAGGCTGTGAGACTCGGTAAGTTAATTTGATTCAAATTCAAGCGAATCAAGGAAGATGATGGGGAAATTAGAGGAACACGAGTTTAAGTTTTGATGAGAGAGAAGAGATGGCGATGATGAAGGAGGGTTTAGTGAGTTGGAGTGAGTTAACTCGAAGTGGGTTGACAAGGGGTTAAAAGGGGAGACCTTTGGGAGAGAGAAGAGGTTTTTAGGATTTCGGCGCAGCGTAGGCTTCCGGCGAGGGCTGGAGTGGGGTTGCGGGATTCAGGCACGTTGGGTGGTGGGACTTTTGGGGCGGTGGTAGGTTCCGGTGGCTAGCTGGTGGCTGGCAAGTGCTCTGTACTTTTTAAAAAAAAATTGTTTAATTAAAGCTGCTTTTTTAGGATATCATGTTTAATTAAGCTTTTTTGTTTTAGGAAAATGTTTAATTAGGCTAATTATAAAAATATTGTCATGTGAGGGGAACTTTTAAAAAGTAATGCTATTTTGGAGAATTTGTCAAATATTTTTTGCTACCATTGAGAATGAGCAAAAGTTCATGACTACCATTGAGAATTTCCATTAATTTTATTATCATTTTTGGAATTGTGAATTTTAACACATATTCATAGTTGCTTCCATTGCTGGAATTGTATGAGCAATTGTTCTTTTGAATCCATTCCTTAAACACCTCCCAATTTCACACAAGTAGTTACACACTAGACGAAAATCCTAATTTAGCACCGGTTCAAACCCCCCCTAAGGCACCGATTTTGAACCGTTGGGGATTTGAGGGATGCCAAATCCTCAAAAATTTGGCACCGGTTCAAAACCGGTGCCAACTAAAGCATTTGGCACCGGTTAACCGGTGCCTACTACCTTGAATTTAATTAAAAAAAACTGGCGCCATCAAGTTAGCATCGGTTAACCGGTGCCAACTATAATGGCGCCAGTTTTTTTTTTAACAAATTCAATGTAGTTGACACCGGTTTTAATCATGAACCGGTGCCTTTGACTTTTTTTTTTTTTTTTTTCGGAAATAATATATATTAATATTAATACTAATAAATATAATACTAATGAGATCATGCACATAATGCAGATAATTAATATTAATAATAATAATTATCATTATTATTAATTTTAATAATAATAATAATTATTATTATTATTAATTTTAATAATAACAACTATTATTATTATTATAATATTAATAATAATAATAATTATTATTATTATATTAATAATAATTAGTATTATTAATATATTAATAATAATAATAATAATTGAAAATAATAACAAGGACATAAATATTGATAACAATCCCAAAATATGATATTAATTAGGAAAATGTGTCATAACTACAAACAAACAAATATAATTAGTAATAATGTAGTACACTAAGCTAGTTAAAATAGAAATAAATGATATTTACAAATTAAATGTGATGTAGGCCGCCAACATGTCTCGAATTACATTGAGTTCCTCGCTCGTGAACGGATTTCTCGTTTGTCCCTGGCAAAACTTGGAATACATACACAAAACGTAAGTTAGTAGGAGTGAACTCATAAATAATCGTAACATGTCTTTATCACTTAGTTATACGTGGTCAAGGCTTGAAATTACAAGAAAATAGCAATTAATGGGTTTTAGAACGCATTTTCAACCAAAATGGTCCGAGTAAGGCCATTTTGACTACTAGGATGCCTATTTCCTACATTTCTTGTCAAGTGAACTCATAAATAGTCATAACATGTCTTTATCACTTATTTATAGGTGGTCAAGGCTTGAAATTACAAAAAAAATAGCAATTAAGGGGGTTTTAGAGCGCATTTTCAACCAAAATGGCCCGAGTAAGGCCATTTTGACTACTATGATGCCTATTTCCTACATTTCTTGTCTAGTGAACTCATAAATAGTCATAACATGTCTTTATCACTTATTTATAGGTGGCCAAGGCTTGAAATTACAAGAAAATAGCAATTAAGGAGTTTTTAGAACGCATTTTCAACCAAAATGGCCCGAGTAAGGCCATTTTGACTACTAGGATGCCTATTTCCTACATTTCTTGTCAAGTGAACTCATAATTAGTCATAACATGTCTTTATCACTTAGTTATTGGTGACTAAGGCTTGAAATTACAAGAAAATAGCAATTAAGGGGTTTTAGAACGCATTTTCAAACAAAATGGCCCGAGTAATGCCACTTTCACTACTACCATTTTCATAAACAACAGCAACACACAACACCAACAACAGTTCAATAGCAACATCATTAGCAACTCAACCGCAATAACATACAGCACAAAACAACGCAAAAACCGCACAACACAACAAACTTCATAAGTTCACAGCTGAATCAAAGAACCAATATCACCATCCAAAGAAATAACTACACAACTCACCTGTAGAACCGGAAAGTCATGAGGTGTTGGATTTTCAAGCTCCCTCAAGTACGCATGTGCAGGATTACCAACCTGCAACAGTGTATTGATAGTGCGAGGCTAATTAGAACCCACGTAACTCAACAAGTCAAAATACTTATAGATTAGAAACCACGTAATCATGTACCTCATCGTCTGCATGTATCTCATCTTCTCCTTGTTTTCGTGGGTAACTAAAAGAGTTGACCGGTGTAGTCGAGGAGACAGGCAAGCTCGGCAAGTTCATCTGCTTTGCCCATGCATTGAACTCTTCTCGCATCTCGTTGCGCACTTGTTCCTTAATTGATGCCACCGTAGCATCCTAGTTGACCGGTGAGTTCACACTTGCCCGGGATCTCCCTGATTTGGTATATTTCGGACCCATCACCTTCTCCCATCCTAGCAAGCTCCCCCCTGCACCCAATACGCGTCCTGGATGGTAGGGCTTTCCCAAAGCCAAGGTGAAAGGGTCCTTCTCCACTGTTGGGACGAGCTTGCCTTCAACAAGCTCTCCAGTGTACTCAATTAAGCTGTAGCAAAAGCAAAAAGGCAACATCAAGTTAGTGTTTATGTAAAGTGATATATATACAACAGATTCATGCAGTTCACAACATAGTTGCTTACAAGTTTATCTGCCATTTCTTTTGTTTCCGGAGCCTTGATGGACCATTTTCCGGTTTTCTTGTCACGAGAATGCAAAGAACAGAAGAAATCTCCAGCACGACTCACCAAAGTACTGGTTGTGGAGTCAGAGGGCACAGTGGAGGACCCTAGTAGCGAAGTGGGGTATACTCCCTCACTCACCCACGTCTCCCTCCATTCATCATACGTCATACACCCCATATGATGGTAGTATTGCTTGTGCAATGCATTCTTGGAATTCTGCTCTCTTATTTCCTACATAATTAGACATATTAGTTTCAAAACTACCAAAATATTAAATATATTTTACAATTGTCATAAGAGTTACTTGAACTTACAATTGCTTCTTTTTTGCTTTTTTGAAGAACGAAAGCATCCCAATTTTCCTTTGATACACTAGGCCATATTTGCCATGGGAGTTTCTCTTCATCGATGACTTCTTCATCCATGCCACCTTCTTTCTTGTTCTTTGGTTTTCTCACAAGCTTCTTTGTGATAAACCGACGAACTAAGGTGGTCTTGAACCCTCTGAATCTTGTCGCAAGTAAGGATTCAAACACCCTTTGCTTGGCGTACTCATTTGGAATGTTAAATAGACTCTGCAAGCACAAATAACAGTCATTATTAGTTTGCCCATTAAATAACAATAAAGTGAAGGAATTTACAAATGTGGAAAGAAATCACTTACCCGTGTATCATTCCAAAACGTGTATATCAAGCCAATAGGTACGTCGCTCAAACGAAGAGTAATGGGGATTTTGCGCGCACAAATCCCAACTTGAACAGCATACTGACGACGCCATTTGCCTGTAGGTTGTCCTACCCTGTCATACTCCAAGACCATTGGACCGACAGGTTTCTTGAAACTTGTAGTCGGACCCCTCAGCTTTTTCTGCGCTGGTCCCTTCACCCCCCTCCACTTTGATCCTCGCCGAACGACTCAGACATTGCGTTCTCGATAGGAGGCGCTTGTTCAGCTGCAATATCAAATTCATCAAGCATACGATCCAAAGCATCTTGAGCCTGATCTTCTGCCTCACCCAAATCAAGCTCCTTGTTCACATCATACAACTCGTCCCCATCCCCAGATGAATCATCATCATCATCCTCTACATCCTCCACTCCAATACGGTAGTGATCATCCGCCATGAGATGTAAAACCTGTCATTACAAACATAACACGTTATTAGTTGTAATATAAATAAATTTGTAAGGTAAATTTATAATTAAATATAAATTGCTGAATTATAATACAAATTAACATAGAAAATGGGGAACTAAGTTACTTCATTCATTTAAAAGAAAATAAGAAAAATGGGCAAGTAAGTTAGCAATTTAATTCATTTTCACCTAAAAATGTGATTTAATAATACGTTCGACGCCTACAATTTCAAACTAACAAAAAATAGTACCTCAATCTAATATTCCTTCGTCGTGGTCTGATCGCATGTAATTGGCTTGGTCGTCTATCTCATTTGGTACAACAGGTCTAGGAACAGTGAAAGGTGCTGAGTCATCAAACGCATCATATTCTTCCTCATCCTCGACATCTCCAACGCCAAGGATTCTTCTTTTGCCAGCTAGCAAAATAGACCATTTTGAGTCGGCTGGATCACTTACGTAAAACACTTGCTTGGCTTGAGATGCAAGGATGAATGGTTCAGCACTATCATTCAGGTGGCCAAGATCTACAAGAGTAAAGTCATCATGTTTGACGTTAAGCCTGATATTATCAACCCACTTCCACCGGAAAAGAGCAATCGTGAAGTCACAATAATCAAGCTCCCATATTTCTTGAATTCGACCATAGTATGACAACTCTGCATCAACAGGTGATTTATCCTTAGCACTTGCAAACTCCCTTGACGATGCCACAAGCGTTACACCACTGTTTTGGGTCGAGGATGATTTCAAATCCTGACGCTCAGTGCAAAATGTGTACCCATTTATGTCATATCCCTCAAATGAGCGAATGTCATCCCTAGGACCATAAGCAAGACACCTTACTGTATCTGTGACACTCTCATACTTTCCACCCATCACTCGATCACGAAACCAGCTCACAAACTTCTTATTATGCAACTGCATCAGTGCCCGTTCACCTTTCGATGAAAATTCATCACGCAAACTAGCCATGTGCTCGTCTAAATATGGGTGAACATCTGCAACATGGTGCAACACATATAGGTGCGCTTGTAAGAACTTATCTCGATCAGGTGACATTCGTTTTGACCCGATTGTGCCATGACCATCAAGTCTCCCTTCGTGTCGAGAAGTAGGAATACCAATAGGTTTAGCAACGGCTATATAGTCGGCCACAAAATTACCAACCTCCTCAGCCACGGTCCCTTGAATCATACTTCCTTCCGGGTGAGCCCGATTCCTGACTTTATCTTGCAATGTACCCATATGTCTTTTAAAAGGATAGCACCACCGCATGAACACTGGACCGCATAATTTAACCTCACGCACCAAATGAAGAATCAAATGCACCATTATGTCGAAAAACGAGGGTGGGAAGTACATCTCAAATTTGCACAAAGTCACAACCACATCCGCCTGTAAAGCATCAAGTGTACAAGGATCAAGCACTTTGCTGCATATTGTATTGAAAAACGAACAGAGGCTTGTAATAGCTTCCCGCACGTGCTTTGGTAAAATACCACGTATTGCAATTGGTAGGAAAACTTGCATCAGAACATGACAATCATGGGATTTCATACTTGTCAGCTTCAATTCTCCATTTAAGGATACAAATCTTTTCATGTTAGATGCGTACCCTAATGGAACCTTAATGCCATACAGACATGCACAAAACATCCGTTTTTCTACCCTTGACAATGTGTAGCAAGCCGGAGGTAAATAGGCCTTGCCCTCCTTGGCTTTTCCCTTATTTTTCTTCTTCGACGCATCCGTGGCCTTTCCCTTTCCCTTGCTCTTCCCCTTTCCTGTTTTCGAACTCAATTCATTTTCCTTTTCCTGTTCCTTTCCCTTACTAACCCTTTGCTGAACCCACAATTCTGGACGAACCCCCATCTTTTTCAAATCGTCCCGTGCACCCTTTCCGTCCTTTGTATTGCTTTGAATATTCATCAGCGTTCCCACAAGAGCATCACACACATTCTTCTCTATATGCATTACATCAAGACAGTGCCTAACGTCATGTTCTTTCCAGTACGGGAGCAACCAAAAGATTGATTCTTTTTTAAAGAGAGCAGTTGACTACGCCGCTTTTTTTGATTTCCCAAAGACTGTTCGTACACCCTTTACTCGAGCGTAAACCTCCTCACCAGTCAACGGCCTAGGAGCAGCCCCCTCTTCCACTGTTCCATCGAAAGCCTTTTTCTGCCTACGGTACGGGTGATCGCGCCTGAGCAACCTTCGGGTGCGCAAGTACACCTCTTTGTGAGAATGATCAAGGCGCCTGCTTGGCGTATCATCAATACAAATGGGGCATGCTTTTTTCCCTTTGTTCTTATACCCGGACAAGTTGCCATACGCAGGAAAATCATTAACGGTCCACATAAGAGCTGCACGCAATGTGAACATCTCATTCTTATGAGCATCAAAAACAGAAACCCCTTCGTCCCACATCTTTCTCAAATCATCAACAAGGGGCGCAAGATAAACATCTATGTCGTTTCCATGTTGCCTTGGCCCCGATATCAATAGAGAAAGCATTACGTATTTCCGTTTCATGCACAACCAAGGAGGCAAATTGTAGATCACTAATTGTACCGGCCATGTGCTATGCTGGGTACTGAGAGTGCCAAATGGATTCATCCCGTCCGTGCACAAACCAAGCCTTAAATTTCTAACTTCATCACCAAATTCTCCAAACTTGATATCAAGGTTCTTCCATTGCGAGGAGTCGGCTGGATGCTTCAGCATTCTGTTATTCTTTCTTCCCTCTGCATGCCACCTCAAGTTTTTAGCGTCTGTTGGTGTTGAGAATAGACGCTTAAACCTTGGAATAATGGGAAGATACCACAACACCTTAGCAGGCGGTCCCTGCTTACCAGCATTGCAACTCATGCGCTTGTAGCATGACTTCTTACATCGTGGACACTCCTCCAATTTTTCATATTCATTTCGATAAAGAATACAATCATTAGGACATGCATGTATCTTCTTATACTCCAAACCAAATGGACACATGAGCTTCTTAGCGTAATAGTAAGATTTAGGAATTTCATTCCCGTCGGGCAACATCTCACTTAACACGCTCAACAAAGAAGTAAAACTACTGTCCGTCCACCCATGCTTCGACTTAATGTTAAAAAGTGTTAGCACGGCGGATAGTTTAGAGTATTTTTTGCACCCAGGATACAAAGGCTTTTTAGAAGGCTCCGATAATGACTCAAAAACGTCACCTTCAAAACCACGCATCATCTCATCCACCCCTTCATCCTCGACCTCATCCACATGATCATCCTCAAATCCATCCTCAGCACCAGTATCAACAATATGTTCATTATTCTTGTATTCCTCTTCCACACAAATGTCATTGTTTCTATCATCATGCACATCATTCCCAATAACATCCCCACTGTACCCTCCTTCTTCACTGTGCCAAATCCACACATGGTATTTAAGCCTAAACCCACGACAAACTACATGATCTCTAATGATATCAATACTATTGACCACCTTCACATTATTACAATCAACACAAGGACAATAGAGGCAATCGAAACCCATTCTGCGCTGATAAGATGAAGCCCTCGCGCAAAAATCTTGAACCCCATTAAAGAATTCCAATGTATCACGTCTACCATACATCCAGCCACGATCCTTCTCCATTAAGTAAATTGTCTCTAAACAGAGCAACATATTACGAATCATGTATAATTGCTACCATCTATTATATATGTAAATCACATTCAAACACACAACATGCATATAACATTCATATAGATACAAAAATGCATATATGCTTCCAAAGGGCCCTTATCACTCCAACTTAACCCATCCTTGAACGTTTACTCTCACTAGTGAATGTATGTCGACTTTCCAATTTTAAGGAAAATCCAGTAGCATTTCCCCCAGTTCTTTAAGTACACGACGTAGGTAATTACTTACCCACATATGTACCTTGAGAACATGGTGATCAAGGAAATGGTAAGCCAAGATGTTCCTTAAAATCGAAAAAAGGACATATATTCACTGCCTAAGTGAGAGTAAACGTTCAAGAACGAACAGTCCCAACCGGGGACTATTCAAGACTTTCTCCTAATGAGAAAGCCTTGAACAGGTATCTAGGCATATGATGATACATGCAATCAATTAAAAAACAATGGATTAATCACACATCATGATAGAAGTTGCACTAAAGTTATATCATACACCATCTCCACAAAAGTGTGCAAACAAGAACTTATATATAGCACATAAAGTTATATATATACCTTAGTACCTATAAAGTCTCAACACTCTCAAATAGAAGGTCAATGCCAAGGTCAATGCTTTGCCCAAAAATTCCTCTGAATCTTTTTCAATATAGCCTATATAGAACACAAATAGAAAACCAGATTAAGGGAAAAGATAAGAATGATATTAGTGAGCAAGAACAAGGACAGTCAGAGTAAGATACCAGGATGCTTTCCGCTCACTCTCCAAACTGATGATCTTACCCTAGAAGCCCTTGACACCCATTTCTTAGCCTGAAACACATATATAGTGAGAACCAACTCGTAAAGAAAAGTATATTCAAGGGAAGTTAAATGAAGGAAGCAAAATGTTCGACGCTTAAACTCATAAGTTACAGAAACCCTAAACCCTATACCCTATACCCTAAACTCGAAACCCTAAACCCTAAACCCTATACCCTAAACCCTAAACCTATAAATGCTTTACTCTTATATACTTTACTCAATATCTAATGCTTACTTATCTCATTTGATACGCTTTTTAGTAGAATTTGATGAGCTACTAATGTAAATGAACTACTATTATTAGCTTCCTCTCAACTTTGTTCTCTTAAATAAAAAGTACTAAATTATCCTATAAACAAAATAAAATTCTCAACTTTATTAGTGATGATAAATAAAGTTCTCATAACAATTTAGAATTATAGATAAATGCAGGTTGTACTAAATAGAATTCTCAGCTTATAAACAGCAACAATAACAACTACAAAGGACTTACATTTGTGGAGGGGCAGCCTTGTGCGTTTAATGGAGGGGGAGCCTTGCGAGTTTAATGGAGTAGTTAAGTAGCAATTGCCAAGCCCTAGCAATTACAAGAAACTTACAAATATTAAACTAAAGACCAATTCCTCATAAAACCACAACAATGGTGTTAATGCAATACATGGAGAAGCTAAGTGAAAGGAGGAGCGTTATTACTTACCTAGGTCGAAGCTGCTTCAATAATGCATGGAGGGAGGCAGAAGAGAAGAACTAAGTGCGTGTGTGCGTGAGTGAGGAGGCAGAACAAAGCCCAACCAGGCTGCGTGCGTGAGGAGGCCGAAGCTTCAATGGAAGCTTCAATGGAGGAAGGGTTTGGGAAGAGGAAATGCAGAGAATTGAAGTAGCAATGTGAGTAAGGTCGCTTAGCTTAACTGCTTCAATGGAGAGGAGAAAGCTCGCACAACCTTTCAATGGAGATGGAGGGAGAAGAGAATAGGGCGAAACTTTCTAGGAATTTTTGAAGCAAACATGAGAAATGAAGAAAGTGTCGTTGAATTGAACAGGTTGAAGCAGCAAACCCGCGTTTTTTTTTTAAATGCCACCGGTTTGAACGGTGCTAACTTGCTTATTTGCCACCGGTTTAAGGAGAACCGGTGCCAACTCCTTCCCCATCCTTTTTTTTATTTTTTTTATTTTACAAGTTGGCACCGGTTTGAACCGGTGCTAATTGCATGCTTGGCACCGGTTTGGGTTAGAACCGGTGCCAACTCTTAATTTTTTTGGTCCCGCCCGTTTTATTTGGCACCGGTTTTGCCTATATAATTTTTTCTACTAGTGACAGTATTAATCATTGCACAAGTGCAAGTAAGCTAATCTAATTTAGAAACGCTTTGACACGAAGAACTCATCAAACTTGACACAGCCTCAACACAAGTTGCGTGAACTTGACTCTTGAATAGACAAATCACTAGCTTAGGTCCCGTGCCATACACGGTAATAAATGACTATTTTTTAAAATAACATTATATTAAAATTTTCAACTTTCATATGTTATACTCATATCAATTGAATGCTGAAGAACAACAAAAATGACAGGAAAATTCACACTAAGAATAATCAACTTGTGTCTTTCTTGGCAAGTATTATTGAAGTATCCATAGTAATTATCGATTATTGATTGATTAAAATACTAATAATAAATTGTTCAAGGAAATAACAAAAGTATAATTTGTTGATTTGATATATATGTAGCTTTCATCACATAATTTAAAAAAAATATATGATGTTGTAATAAACGTAGTATACATAATATGTCTTTCCCAAAAATAAAAATACTCCATATGTCACAAATTGTGTATAAATTTTTTTTTTCTTTTTTTTTTTGGCTTAAACTTATAATTGTCAATATGTGTTTTTCGGAAGCAAAAATCAAATCTTTTATTATACTCTATAAGTAATTAGATTTGTTGCTTAAATATAATTTTTTTCATAAAATAAAAAAATTAGAACTTACCAAGAGAGGACACTTTTAGTATGATTGATTAATTCTATACATAATTAGATAATATTTAGTTACATCATATCAATTATAATATATTTCTAGTAGTACAACATGTCACAAAATACGTCTAAAATAGTAAAGTTTGATTGCAGAATATTAGAAGATACAATGTGAAGTATATTAAATATTTTATTTTAAGTAATTATTATATTAATGAAAATAGCTATTATTTTAGTATAAGATTTAAGGAAAAAAAAAAAAAAAAACTAAAGACGCAACAGGAAATTAGGAAATATAAGATTATTTTAAGTAATTATTATACTAAAATAGCTATTATTTTAGTATAAGATTATTTTAGTTATAGTTATTATTATTGATGATTATTTAAAAAGGATTATTTTTTTAATTTTTTAATAAAGGTAACATACATAGAGGAAATTAGGAACGTAAATGAGTCAGAGTAGCATATCCGAGAGACGAAACATAGTCTGCTACTCTGTTTCCTTCGCGAAAAATATGATGCATAACACTACCTCCAAAAGATGATCAAGGATTTGGGAAACAATAGATAGAATAACCGGTGAATAAATAGAGAAGTAAACAAATAAGAAGATGACTTTTCAGCAAGCATAAAATTGCATTGAGTTTGTAAAGGCCAAATAACATAGCCGTTTGTAATTCAATGAAGATCAAAGATTATTCTGAAGAAGAAAAGAGGACTGCCAAACCGAAGCCAAGTGAGGTTTAAAATAAATAAGTCTAGAAAGCCTCAAGAGATCAAAGCTTGTATGAAGGGTTTTGTTTCTCACTTGCTTGTTATCAATCCATAAGAATCGTAGATCTAGAAGGAATGTGGGACGAACCATATCTGCATATAAAGACATTCAAGAATTGGTATCAATAATAAACATGTAAATGCAAGTAATTTAAGCAATTCAATACATCTTAAATCTTAAATGAAAAGAAAAACCAAAGAAAATTGACCAACTTCAAATTACATGACAACAACAAATGAGATAAGGGCATATGTTTTATCATTTATCAGTCTTCACTGTTAATCTTTGTATCTATGCAAAGTATTACTGCTACCTATTAACATTTGGGCAAATGTGAAAAATGGTTTTTCACCGAGGTATAAATGAGCAACCAAGTAGCTTTCCAGCATGAAGTTATATACTAAGATGTAGCAACTAAAGTTATCTACTTACTAATGCAGTACTTAAGATCCTCCACATAAGCAAGCCAGCCATTAATCCCGAACATTGAAATACCAATCAAAAATTCACATTGATCAGATATTCTATTAATTATTCATGTCAATCAGGAATTAGTGATTGACAACTTTCACACGTGCATTAAGGAATTACCCACCCCTTAAGCCAAAGTGCGTAAATATCATTTCCCAGTTCCATTTGCATAACTGTTGAAACCTCATGATTAATTACTTCTTTATTCATAAATATAAGAGACTCAAAGGATGGAAATGGTAGTTAGTCCAATACTCCCTTTTCTTCCTTTCAGTAGTTATAATAAAAATACTCTCTGTAAAATAAACATTTTCATTCAACCACCTACAAATCAGATCGGAATTTTATAACTCTCTGTTAAGTAGCAGCTATCAACAAGGACCAATTATTGGAATAAATGCAGCAGTAGAAAATAAAGACTGAAACAAACCATTTGGTTGAGATAATCAAAAAACACAAACATCACTAATGAAATCACAATTATATTCAATTTTTCACATGTTGCCTAACTGTGTGCTTCACACCGGTTGATTCTTGGTAGCGATAACATAATATTAAATAAAAAAAATTACCAGTAAATTTATATGGGTCTAAAGTGTTGCTTTAAGCTCTGCAGCCACAGCATCTAAGAACTCTTCTGTGTTCAGATATTGGTCCCTTGCAATCCTGCAGTCACTCAAATCAAATTAGGCAAGAATATTTCAATAGCAGCAACATAAAAATAAAACTAACTAAATGCACTACTGACTTGGGTCCATGGGTGATAATAGCAAGATCCTTGGTCATCTTTCCAGATTCAACAGTGTTGACACAGGCTGCTTCCAATTTCTGTGTGAACTCCAAAAGTTTCTCATTGCTGTCCAACTTAGCACTGTTGATCAAGGAACAATCGCAAAAAGCTTAGTTAATTACTACATTAACCAAAACAGTACGGTGCTCCTATGTGATAAAGATTGCCAGCATACCGATGAGCAAGTCCCCGAGTCCAAGCAAAGATCGAAGCAATGCTGTTGGTGCTGGTTTCACCACCCTTCTGGTGAACTCTGAAATGGCGTGTCACTGTCCCATGAGCAGCTTCAGCTTCAATAGTCTTGCCATCAGGGCATATCTGAAGAGAATCCACAATGTTAGCATACCATAAACAATTTTTTTTGGTCTTCACCTCTCCTTCTAAAGATGTGTGTGTGTGTGTGTGTGTGTGTGTGTGTGTGTGTGTGTGTGTGTAGTGTGTATATGCGACTTAGAGTCATCTACTGATATGCCCAAGTAAAGGATCAGCCATGAACCACTGGAAGTGCTACCTGCGTGACTAAGCCAATGAGGCAGATGCAGCCATGCACAATACATCAGAGAAATTTTTAGTGTATGAATTTTAGCAGGCATGCTCAATGGAGTACTTATGTGCATACTTTTCATGTTTTGTCTAAACAGAGGTAATTCATAATTTTATTGTTACATAATGGCACCAAAAAAAAAAAAAAAAAAAAAAAAATTATATTGAAGACAGGATACATACCAATACAGAAGTCATCAATCCCAAAGATCCGAACCCTAAAACAATTGAAAAGAAACAATTGATTAAAAATTTAGTAAACCAGTAAAAAGTCCTTAAAACAAACAGAGGTAAGCAGTCGTACTGCACTAAAGTGAATACATCTCCAAACACGTTTCATGTATTAACGTCACAAATTGACAGCTAAATACAAATGTACATTACAAACCTTGGGCAAGGAAATCACTCTGTACATCTCCATCGTAGTTTTTGCATGCCCATACGTAACCTCCATCACTCTTGAGAGCATAAGCAACCATATCATCAATGAGACGGTGCTCATACCTAGCAAATCAGTCAAACATTAATTTATTGCAATGCTACAGCTTATGAGATGATAAAGGCCAAATCAAGCACGCACCATATTCCAGCTTGCTCAAACTTTGTCTTCCACTTGCTTTCATAAACTTCTTGAAATATGTCCTTGAATCTTTGCAAACAAACAATAAAAAAATATGAGCAACATTTGTAATAAGATAGGTTTAAATAAAAATTAACCTTCAGAGAAGTAAAGGAGATTCCTACCTCCCATCATATTTCTTAAGAATGGTGTTCTTTGTGCTAAGATAGAGTGGCCACTTTTTCTCATAGGCCATGTTCATTGAAGCCTCTGCAAATGAAGAAATGGACTGCATTGCAACATAAACAAGTGAAATTACGAAAAAGGTTCTTAATTAATTAAGTAAATGTAACAAAGCCAAGGACAATCAAGAAGTTGTAGCAGTCGAACCTCATCGGTATTATACATGGCCAAAGCTACTCCTCCATCACCAGTAAACTTGTAAACCTCCATTTCTGTTTTCTCATCTTTTCCTTCGGGTACTGTACAAGTGTACAGAAACTGTATTTAGTATATATGCTAGTAAATGCAACTTGCACTGTTCAGATTTTTAAGTAATGTATTCAGGCATTCCACAGAATCTTCTGTGTTTTGGTGTGTGAGGCAGTCTGCATCTACACATTATCTAGTGTGCTAGAATTGAATACTGTAACCTTAATATCCAGGATCAAGAATTGCAGGAAAACTAGAAAACAATAAACAAGAGGTACCTACCAAATACTAGCTTGAGTGTCCCAGCTCCCTTAATGACAGCATCAGTAGCTTTGTACTGATCTCCAAATGCATGTCTTCCTATGCAAATAGGCTTAGTCCAGCCTGGAACAAGCCTAGGAACATTTTTACAAAGAATGGGTTCTCTAAAGACAGTACCTGCAACAACAACAACAAGAACAGTAAAAATTATGACAGAAACTAACCAAAATTACTCCTAAAAAGCATTAGAAAAACAATCTCTTGAATTCAGGTGTTCAAACGCATATAGACGGACCATTCAAAATGTTCCTAATTGTCCCATTTGGGCTTTTCCACATTTGCTTCAACTTAAATTCTGTCATACGGGCTTCATCTGTTGAGAAAAATAAATAAATAATAGCCGTTGTTATCAACTAATGGTATAAGGGGAGGTGTGCGGTTTATATAAAGAAGAAATATAAATATAATGAGCACCACAGACCTGGAGTAATAGTTGCACATTTGATTGCCACGTTGTACCTGCAATAGCAACATAATAATTCTTTAATCCTCACTCACAAAGAGATTGAAGAAGCTAGTAAGAATGAAGTTTTGCTTCCATCTCTCATCTTACTTTCTGTCAACTTATCAATCAACCATAGAAACAATACAAGCTAATACAGTAATGCTTGATACCAAGCCAAAGAAAACTTACTTTAGGGTTGCTTCAGCACTTTCAATAGTAACTTTGTCATCAGTGGCATCACGGTGGGGAAGACCAAGATCAAAGTATTTAATGTCCAATTCCAGAAATGGAGAAATCAGCTGAAATAATAATTGACAGCACGGAGAAAAGGGTGAGCATAACACATTTCTGCAACAACCAAAAAAAAAAATACAGAGAAGTGGTATAACGTTGACAGACCTTGTCCTTTATCATCTGCCAGATGACACGAGTCATTTCATCACCTGCAAATCAAAATAAAAAAATTAAGGAACAACCTTCAACAAGTTATTGGTCTCCACACATTCCAACAAAACAAGATTAAAAAAGATAAGAGAAGAGAGCACTTTGTGGCAAGCACAATTTAAGACACAGCAAAAGATAAACTTGGATGGATAAGAGACGCAGGAAGCAATTTGATTGTAAGTGCACTGCATTTGACCATCAAACTGATAGACCAACATATAGTGAGTTATATAATGCCACTTGCTTGCTTATTACAGTAGTTCAATTTCAAAAAGAAGCTCATAAGGACAAGAAGCCAATTAGTAGAAAAGGGCAAAAAAAAAAAGTTATGGCGTCCTAATTTTGCTTAACCTGAATGGCTAATTAAGTCCAAAAGACACAGGGCTTGACTTCTTAACTCTTTTAGTTTCAGTTTCTAGCCTTGTTTCCATTGAACTACTTTGCTTCTCAATATAGTAATCATTCCCAGGACATGTAATATCACACAATTAGATCTACTAAAAGAAATATGTACATGTAATGATTATGTAAAGCCTTCATTTTAGTTAAATCAAAATCACAGCACTATCATCCTTCGAGAAATCAATCTAGCAGAGATGATAGAGCATAGCAACAAAATCACAGCACTATCATCATTTGAGAAGTCATTGGTTTATATTAAAGTTCTAATAGAGCTGCATCTTGTCCTTTATGACATCTCTTTCATAACTTGCTTGCCTTTTAATTTGTCCCTTTACTTGAAATAAATAAATACTTCTTTTGTTTTTATTTACTTTACTCGCCTTTTAGTTTCCACTTCCATACAGATTTAAAAGAGAGATAAGGGAAGTGGTGATAGTGAGTGATATGCATTATATAATTTATTTGAGAAGAAGTGAGTTAACTATTTACAAATAGCCACAAAAAAAAAGAAAAATCCTTTTCCTGACTCTGCAACAGCACATCAACAAGATAATAACATTTTTCATCCTATGCTTTTCTTGATGAAATTGTCAAGATCACAACTTCACAAGTACAACATATGTAAATCCTACTCAACCCAAATCCGAAACCTACTACATTATTGATGTACATAAATCCATATAGACTCAATACTCCTAAAAATCATTAAGTCTACTATTAACAACTACAAGTATATCTTTAAAATATACGATCCAAATATCGCCCAAATAACTCATCACCCGAATGTGATCCAACCCAAATCTAACCCAAAACCTGAGTGCCACCTCCACTGCCAAATTTGCAACTCTACAGCAACAAAATACCGATGATTTCACCCAGATAATATTTATTCATTGAAGAAATGCTCAAGATCACAGCAAGACTACTTAAAAAAATATATACTACTACACATAAACATAATTACAAAACTATCCACCAAACATCAGCAACAATTCCTCGTATTCAACCAACTCAGAGGTTTATACTGATATAAAGAGCATAAAACATACTCCGTATTAAAATAAATATTTACTTCCTCCATTTTCTTTTACCTGCACCACTTTAAATTATGCACTATTCACATAATCAACTTCGAGTAATTTTTTATGATTTATAGTTTATAAAATAAAAAAAAAAAACGTCGGATCTTGTTATATTCACCTCGATTTATACTTTTAATTTGCATATATTAATAATTAATGATACCACATACAAGCGATTGAAATGATACATCAACACAAGTAAATAAAAATTATTAACGATCAACGAAAATACTTGTATGCATACTACGTATAATAATTTTTACACCAAAACATCTAAACCGATCATACAAAAAACACGATTATCCTCATCATTTATACAAATAGATCTACATCAATCATTCAAACCCATAAAAACACAAACAAAAAAACGATTTCCGATCAAAATGAAACAAATAACATTTAAGATGAACAAAAAGATTACCATCCATTTCAACAATGGGGTTGGCAACCTTGATCTTGTCGAAGCTAGCCATGGCGGGAGGAGAGAGAAAATGTTGGGGTAGGTGAGAGATGAGAGTGAGTAGTGTATTACAGCAACAAATACAATACAATCCGCCGCTTTAAGAATTGGGGTGAGAGAAAATGTCGGGAGTCTAAATGAGTTTATATATAGCAGAGGAAATACCGGAGGTTTGGGGTGGTTGGATTGGCTGATATTATTATATGCATTGGAAAAAGTGAGATTGTCCTTCCAAAAAAAAAAAAAAGTGAGATTTATTTTATTTAAGGATTTTTGAGGAGTATTTTTTTTAGGATATTTGATGTTTTTTTTTTTTGAATAAATCAATATCAATCAATGAGAGCTGATTAATGAGACAAGCAATTTAGACTGGTGTTTTTCGTGACAACTCGAAAGTCTTGTAGGCTTTACATCGTTACATGCAATTTGCTGATATTTTTAGAATGGGGCCTAAAGGTCATTATCATTTCTCTTATGGATATTACTAATACTCCTTTGTATTATTGTTTGAATGAATAAATATTTCTCTTGTACAAGTATGTTAATGTAAAATTTTGACTAGTAATATTTTAGTGATCAATAAGTGAAAACTATAACAATTGAATATTATCATTTATTGATTGAGACGATTCGAACAAGTAATTTACAAAACCATATTGTGAAATGCTAAATACCGCCATAAAAAATTATCAAACCGCCATCATTTCAAGTGAAGAGATATCTTTGCCCTCACTAAAAAAATTTCCATTTTCTTTCTCTAGCATTAGTCCATCCACTACAACCAAGTCAACCACCACCAATCACGACATCGGTAAAACCTACGGCACCACATCGACCACCACAACCCACAACCATCGTGCCAACCACCACCATCTACACCGTACTGCCACCACAACCGCGAAAGTTGACAAGAAATGGATGGTGATAGAGGTGGCTCGTCGGAAAACAAACCGTAAACGCCACCATCGGTCCGAGGGTTTAAAGTGGTTTGATTTGCCGGAGAAACCGCGGTTTGACCATGGTAAAACGAGGTCAGAACCGATTACCATGGATGGTAACCGGAGGTCAAAACCGATTACCATGGATGGTAACCAGTTTTGGCCTTCAGTTACCCTGGTCAACCGGAGCTGAAAACTGGTTACCGTCCACGATACGGTAACCGGTTTTGAGCTCTGGTTACCATCCACGGTAATCGGTTTTGACCTCCAGTTACCATTGCATCCAAAAAAAAAAACAAAAAAAAAACCTCCACTGGAAAACTTACTTCCTTCCACGGATTTCTAGCCATCCTGCCACCAGAACCGCCGCCTCTAGACCTCCACCTGACCGACCGCCTGGTTTCTCACTGTCGCTGCCACCAACTGTTGCCCATAACCTCTACTATGTAGTTGTGGTGGTTGTGTGGAAAAAGGTTAGTGGTTGGGGTGGTTGATGAGAGAGAAAAAAAAAGGGAGAAAAAATGGGTTAGGGTTTAGTAAGGGCAATAATGACCCTTTGCTTGAAATGATGGCGGTTTGATAAATTTGGATGGCGCTAGTTAACACCCCCCGTATTCGAAACCAAAGACCTGTCCTCCTTCACTTGTGCCGTGGTTTGGAACCCACTGACTTAGAAGCAAAATACGCCACCACCGGTCCAAATTCGAAGGTTGGAATTACTCAAGAACTGTTCAGACCTCAAAAAAGCAGGTTTGTGTTTTGAGTTTAGAGTTTATAAAGAATGAATAATAAAATCATCACAATCTCTTTTTTAATATATATATATATATATATATATATATATATATGCACGTGATAGGAGGAAATTATCAAAGGAAATAAAACACACAAAACCGCCTCACACTACTCGTCAAAACCCGTGCCCGCAGCCCCGTACCCGTGCTTGCAGGAAAACTTGTGGGTCTGACCTGCGGCCTCTACGGGAGCTCACCGAAACTGCCTGCTCGCAACCCACACCTGCGCCCGCAGTCCGTGCCTGCGACCCACCAAGATGGAGCTTTACAACTCATACATAACAAGGGTTGGGTTTTGACACTTAGCGGGTCGTGATCGAGATACTTGTGGAAGGTATAAACAAGGTTGAACATCGATAATATATATCCAATAACAAGACGACTATAACATGTAGCGCCTACTCGCCTACTTGGCCACGAGCCTAACTGTCCGGATGCATTACTAAAATTTCCAGCAATCCTCCACTAATGCATACGAAACAAAGAACATGAGATCTAAACAGTAAATGAAAGTCTCAGTACTTAAATGCTAGTATTCGAAGATTTTAACTAACTGTAGACACCTTATTGTGCCTCCCCAAAAACCAAACCCAGTGGTGAGTACCTTTCACGTCTTTGATTATCGAGTTTGGTGAAGGGTTGAAGAGTCTCGTAAATTTCCCTTTAGCCTTGACCATTTCTAACCTTACCTAAAAATTTTTTAAGCCAAAATCATTTATTTCGTGTTTTTAAACCCAAAATCATTCATTTCGTGTCTTTGAAAATCATTTATTTCGTGTCCTCTTTATAAAAATGTTCAAACCAGATTATTTTGGTCCGTATTACTGGTCTAATTATTGTTTAGTTTGATGGAGCTTGAAAAGAGCTTTCCAACGATATATTATAAGCCCAAATCCGACTAATAACGAATAAGTTATGGCCAAAATACTAAACCAAGCTCAAACCGGACCTAGGTCCACCTTACCTACGACCCAATGATCATGTGAGGGTCCAAATACCTTAATCCTAATCCTAAACCAATTAGAATTCATTACAAGCTTCTAGAGGTCTCTAGAAGGTTCGAATCTATCCTTTTCAAAAGATAAAGCTCAAAGAGTTTGAAATTGAATAAAACTCCTCGTTTTGAAAGTCCTTGTTCCATTCGAACTCAAAGATGTTCAGATATGATTTCGTGCCTCATAATTTTTATCCAAATCTTAAATGGTTGGATAGCAATTGAAATTATCTTTCCATTGATATATCATAATCCCAATTCCGAGCTATAACAAAAAAGATATGAATGAAATACCAAACTTTATCCAAAACTGACATTGTCCTACTATTTCGGCCATATCTTTTATCCTACAAAAGATATCAATCTGATTCTAATTGGTTTGGTAAGTAAACTTCAAGAGCTTTCCAACGATATATTATTATCTTTCCAACACTCAGCCTGTCTGAATCCACCTAGCAAACATACCATTCAAAAGGGTTAGATTCATCATACACAAACAGTGTAAAATAACAATGAGTCAACCAAAACTAGGCTCCAGCCTCATTCAGAACAAAAGTTCAAATTTAAAAGCACATCGGTGCATCCACGTAAGCTGTCTCACCTGACCACCCAACCTGGGCCATGGACACAATAAGAGCACTAAAACTCAACTTGTTAATATCAAGCAGCATGTCTAGCAAGGCATCTCATTACCATAAAAATTAGAGGGTTACAGAATCAGATACCTCAATCTCAATCAAACAATACATGTGTGATCAACAACATATGATTAGACTAGCACCTAACTAACATCAATGCTCGTCATAATAAATACACACATGCATTACATCAGTACATTAGCATGCCAAGAATGAAAAACATTTGACATAGTTTGGGTACTTACAATTGACTTGTCTAGTCCACTCACCACATTAACCGCAAAAGTTAATTTAATATATGAAGATTACACCTCATACTTTGAGTTGTCTCATATAATTGCATCACTAACTAACACCATGATTTCTAATCAATCATGTTAGAAAGCCTACGCAGTGTCGCAACCTCACTGCAAAAATGACAAGCTCATACAAGTGAGTAATAAAAGTGGGTCAATACCAAACTTACATGTATATTGTGAAAACACAATATCTTACCCTCAACCTCTTTCCAATAATGCAAACAAAAACCTTCCAAATTCCTTTGCAAGACACTTATAGGTGAAGGACATTTCATGGCAAGGCAAGACATATAAATCTCAAGCACATAAAACTCAACAAGAGCTTACTTTCAAGTTAACATGCTTCTTCTCTTCAAAATTAGTTCAAGTAACATTTATCATGGTTTATTCATATGCTTCTGGATTCCTATCCACCATTACTAGAATACCAAGAAATCAATCCATCTAAACCTTTCAAACAAGAAATTAAACACGAGATGGAACTCAACTAGTTCAAGCTTTAATCATTATTCTTACCTTAGTTGATCCACTCATCAACTACACAGGCCAGACCAAAGCTTAAGAGACAAAAGCAACCACATGATCGATCAACCAAGGTTAATAAGTTAATACATGATATAAACTGTACTTGAGAAACTTCACATACATGATTTGTCGTATCAAAGTCACATAGACTTACACACATAGCTCATAGTTCAACATATGCATCACCCACACATTTACATACTGGTCACGCATACCATATGAAACGTACTTTACAGATAAACTTCATAGTTAGAAAACCCCACATCACACACCTTGTGATAATAAAACCCGACTCCTGTCAAAGTTTCAGGGAAACACTACTAGTAACTTGGGTGGAAAACACTTTACTAGCATAACAACCCGAACTATAAAGCTACCCCACATAGCAAATATTCACATGATATAAAATCAACATTGTAGACATAGAAACTTAATTTCCATTCTTACCGCATGTGGAGTCCATAACATTTAGACTTGTACAACCTTACTAGTCCTTGTCAAACCCCTTTCACTTTTGCTTTCAAGCACGGAGAAAACCCGATCACTTCTAGAACTTCTACAAGAAAAGTCAAATGCTAGTCCTTAGCATTTATACACATTTCAAGTTCAAAAGATAAGCTATACTAAAACCACAAGAATTAACAACAATAATTCTAAATCCCCTTTTTAGGCTAAAAGGGAACCTCACAAGCTTATCACAACACACTCCATGCTCAACAAATATTTTTCAAGATTAGGGAAATAACTCAACACACACACTATCAAAAGATACGAAATTAACAAAGCTACATAAATATAAAAGGAAATACACTAACATGATGTATCCCATCAATATTAAAAAGTCATTAGTGGTATCTTGCTAGGTATCACTAACGGTACATGAGTTGCAATTGTGCCTCGATTAATATGATTTTATATGGTGTGTTTGTTACTATTGACTTAGTTGTTCTTCTTGCCTTACTTGACTTAGCTCTTATTTAGTTAATTACTAATTAGGTTTCCCTTGCTGTCGTTTGACCTCTTGTGGGTAGATTTG